GTATTAAAGAGGGCATGTACTGCATGGAGCACTGGGTGTTATACCAAAACAATGAATCGTGGATCACTACATCAAAAATTAATGATGTACTGTATGGTGACTAACATAACATAATAAAATTAAATTAAATAACTAATCCAGTTTGTGGGCAGAGCAACTGTTAGAGAAGGCATCCTAGAGGACGTAATGATTGACTTCAATCTTACAAGATGAATAGTTGTTAAATTAGTGAACCGCTATAGTTGAAGAAACAGTAAGAACAAGAGAAAATATCTGATACTATTGGAGCACAAAGTTCAAAAGAAATTTGAGATAGTGACACAATTTGATACTTAAAAGAAACTGTTAGGTAAGGCATCATTTCTCTTTGGCAGGCTGTGGGACACGAAGGAGTAAAACTACAAGTCAGAGTCTCAGGATCGTCGGTGGGACACAGGTAGAAGAGGGTGAATGGCCATGGCAAGCTAGTCTGCAGTGGGATGGAATCCATCGCTGTGGAGCAACTTTAATTAATAGCACATGGCTTGTGAGTGCTGCTCACTGCTTTAGAATGTAAGTCCTGAATGACTGGCTTGTGAATGACTGGCTTGTGAATGACTTGTAAGCAAAGTGCATTGGGGCTTGGCAGGAAGGAAATACCTCATGAAGTTGGAAAGAGATGAGTTTAATATAAAGATAAAATATACATCACAAAGAGTGGGACACTCATAAACCTTAATAAGAGGTTTAATAGCCTGGAAATGGAAATGGCATCAAAGTACACGGAGATAAATTATCCATTGATAAATAAATAATAATTTGTCAAAGGAAGCAGGAGTTTTAAAGAAGTTTTAAAATCATTTTTTGACTTTGAGCTTGATGTCAAAGAGCCATATCTCTCTGCTTTATATTTATCAGAGATGGGGATGGGAGATGGAAGGTTTGATCTCAGTGGGGAAATTTCACATGGCAAGAAAGAATTAAGTATGAAGAAATTTGGTAGTAACAAATTCAGCTGAGTAAGTTGACTAGTTGTATTCCAAAGAATAGAGACCTTTCAACCCAATGCAAAATGACTATGTACACAGGATAGTTACGTTTAGTTATATTTATGTGTAGCTTTTTCAGTTTTCAGAGAAATGTGTATGTTTGTGGGTAGGGAACATGGTGCATAGAATACATTTAGTTATTTCATTCTGTATAAAATATGCTTTCCATATATCTCTTGGAGTCACTGATTCCTAGAAATGTCAAAAAGCCCTAGGATCTGGGGTGAGTAACTCAGATGCAGAGTGGCATGTGTCTCCTAAAAAACATGCCACTGTGGTTTTTCTACCTGATGTTACTCCCGAGCCTGATTCTCAGATTAGAGTTTGTTTCTTTATATAGAAACTGTCATTTTAAAAAGAAAACTTATATTGACACCAGCAACCTAAATCGTTTAATATAAGTCATTACAGTAGTATGGTAAAGTGAAATTTATTCTTCGTACTTTTTCCTCAGGTATAAGGACCCAGACAGATGGACTGTTTCCTTTGGAGTAACAATAAAACCTCCAAAGATGAAGCAAGGCCTTCGAAGGATATTTGTCCATGAAAAATATAAGTACCCATCACATGACTACGATATTTCAGTTGCAGAGCTTTCTAGCCCTGTTCCCTACACAAATGCAGTACATAGGATTTGTCTCCCTGATGCATCCCATGAGTTCCACCCAGGCAATGAGATGTTTGTGACAGGATTTGGAGCACTGCAAAATGATGGTGAGCATCTGAAGAGAAATCAAACCATAGTAACCCAATTTGGTATTCTAAGGTATTTAAAGAATGGAATGTCATTATGCTAAAATATGTTGGTCAGTTGGTCATATGGACCTGGGCAAGTCAGACACTCTTTGTGAACTAGGTCATTTAGAAGACACATACATTCCTTCATTGCTTTAGTTTACTCTATCAAGTGCCTCCCTACTATTGTAGTAATGGTGTTTGGTAAGGTGTCTGAAATAGTAAATATGGCTGAATGTTTTACTAGGGAATTAACCACATAAGAGATTGGGGATCATTAATATACCCAATTGTGAAGATGCGAGAATCATAAGGTCACCATTCTCCCTACTGAAATTACATTCTAAGATTTGCCATGGGATGGAAATCACTTAAACAACTTGAGATTCTCTAATAGGTACCTATGTTTTCATTTAAAGTAGTTAGGAAATTTTTTCCCCCAAAATATGACTGTACCTGAAAAAAAAGACATATCCTAAATTGCCATCTCATCCAATAATTATGATTTTCTTAAGTTTATAGAATATATGTATATATGCAAATATAAAGACTATTTTCTTCCTTTAGGTGGTAGTCAAAATCATCTTTGGCAAGTACAAGTGGATCTCATAGACACTCAAACCTGTAACGAACCCCAATCTTACAATGGTGCCATAACTCCTAGAATGTTATGTGCTGGCTTCTTGAAAGGAAAAAGAGATGCGTGCCAGGTACATGGTTTGACCTATTAGTATGCTGCAGAATTTTTTGCTCACTTTTTATTTTGAAAACGTTATAGATTTATAGAAAGTTTACAGAGAGTTCTCATATATTCTTCACCTCATTTCCCCCAAACATGACATCTCACATTCCTATAGTACAATATAAAAGTTAGGAAATTGACATTGGTGCAATGTGTGTTTCTAGTTCAATGGTATTTTGTTACATGTGCAGAGTTGTGTAACCATCACTGCAATTGAGAACTATTCCATCACCACAAAGATCTCCTTTATAGTAACACTTACTTCTCTATCACTTTCTTTTTTTTCTTAAGTTTTGTATTTTTTGTATTCTTTGGTTAAATACCTCATAGTGCAATTGCTGGATCATAGGGTAGTTCTATTTTTAACATTTTGAGGGACCTCCATACTGTTTCCCAGAGTGGCTGCACCAGCTTGCGTTCCCACAAACAGTGTAGGAGGGTTCTCCTTTCCTCCACATCCTCGCCAGCACCTGTTGTTTCTTGTATTGTTGATTTTACTCATTCAGACAGGTGTGAGGTGATATCTCACTGTGGTTTTGACATGCATTTACCTGATGATGAGTGATGTTGAGCATCTTTTTATGTCTATTGGCTACCTGTATGTCTTCTTTGGGAAAATGTCCATTCATGTCCTCTGCACATTTTTAAATCGGATTATTCATTTTTGGGGCCTTGAATTTTATAAGTTCTTTATATATTTTGGATACTAACCCCTTATCAGATATGTCATTTGCAAAAATCTTCTTCCATTCTGTAGGTTGCCTTGTAGTTTTGTTGATTGTTTCCTTCATTGTGCAGAAGATTTTTATTGTTGAATAATTGATGAAGTCCTAATAGTTTATTTTTGCTTTTGTTTTCCTTGCCTCTAGAGACATATCTAGAAAGTAGTCGCTATGGCCGATGTCAATCCTGTATCACTCTTTCATCACTAATACCTGCCAATCATGAATCTGTTTTCCATCTCTACAATTTTGTAATTTTGGGAGTGTTATATAAATAGAATCATGCTTATGTAGCTTTTTAAAGAATTCCATTTTGATTTATCTATTAGTATTTTTGACTAGGTTATCTCTGTGGAAAAATTTTTGTGGTTCCTTTAAGTTGTATATACATAACTTAACACAATCTACTGGTGTTGAGATTTTACTAGTTCGAATGGAGCATAGAATAGAAAACTTACCTCCCCTTAAACCTCTTTTCCTTTCCCCATTTATAATGATAATATTGATGTAAATTTTAATATTTCCTCTACATCACATTGAGAACCGCATTAGATAAAGTTTTTGCTTCAAGTTCCAAACATAACTTAGAAACTCAAGAGTAGAAGGCAAGTTTATTTATTCATAATTTTGTTCTTTATTCCTTCCCCATTTTCTAAGATATTTTTTATCATTCCTTTTCTGTTTTAGAAACTTCCTTTAGCCTTTTTTTTTTAGTGTAGATCTGCTGATGACAAATTCCCTCAGATTTTCTGTGTTCAAATTCTTTATTTCTTATTCATTCCTGAAGCATAATTTTGTCAGATATAGAATTTGGGATTGGCAGTTCTTTTCTTTCAGTATTTAGATCATGGCCTCTGTGATTTCTGGTGAGAAATGTGCTATTACTAGAATTGTTTTTTCCCTGTAGATGAGCTGCCATTTCTGTATTGTTGTGTTCAAGATTTTTCTTTGTCTTTAGTTATCAGAAGTTTGATTATGTGTCTTGGCATGGATTTCTTTGGGTTATCCTGTTTGGGGTTTACTCAGCTTTTTTACTTATTTTTTATTTAATTTTTAAAATTTTTTATCAATAAATAAAATATCTTTACTCAGCTTTTTGGATGTGCGGATTTATGTCCATTGACAAATTTGGGAAAGTTTCAGCCATTATTTCTTTGAAAGCTTTCCCAGCCCCACTCTCTTTTTTGTATCCTCCTGGGAGTCAAATAATAAGAATGTTAGTTCTTTTGTCGCAGGCTCAGAGGTCCCTGAGCTTTTGTTTATTTTTCTCCCCCATTCCTGATTCTATTGCTCAGACTGGATAATTTCTTTTTTTTTTTTTTAAGATTTATTTATTTAATTTTTTTGACAGAGAGAGAGAGACAGTGAGAGAGGGAACACAAGCAGGGAGAGTAGGAAAGGGAGAAGCAGGCTTCCCATGGAGCAGGGAGCCTGATGCGAGGCTCGATCCCAGGACCCTGGGATCATGACCTAAGCTGAAGACAGACGCTTAATGACTGAGCCACCCAGGCACCCCCAGACTGGATAATTTCTATTATTCTATCTTCAAGATCACTGATTCTCTCTTCTGTCATCTTTGTCCCATTGAGCCCATCCAATCAGTTTTTTGATTATTGCATTTTTCAGTCTAATATATTCATTTGATCTTTCTGTATATCTGCTATTTCTTTGCTGAAATGTCTTATTTTTTAATTTGTTTCAAGCATAGTGGTAATTGCTCATTAAGACATTTTTGTCATGGCTGCTCTAAAATTTTGTCAGAAAATTCCAATATCTGTGTCATCTCAGTGTCAGTATCTGTTGATTGTCTTTTCTCATTCAAGTTGAGATTTTCCTAGTTCTTTGTATGATAAGTGATTTCCAGGTATATCTTGGACATTTTGAGTATTATAAGACTCTGGATCTTATTTAAATTCTTCTGTTTTAGCATGCTTCCTCTGACATAACACTGGATGGAGTAGGTAGATGCTATCTCATTTCCTACTCATCCTCCTTTGACACCCAGGTAGGGGAGAAGAGCTTTGTTACTGCTGGATGGAGGTAGAATTTTAGGCTCTGTATTAAGCTTTTCTGATATCACTCTGGCTGGGAGAACCTTGTTACTGCTCCCTTTGTGGCCTCTACAGACATCATGGGGTAGTGGCCTCATTACTGTTGGCAGTGGGTAAAGCCTGACTTTCCACTAGGTCTCCTTTGACATCACCCTAACTGAGTGAGAGAGGTAGGTCTCATTTCCCCTGGGTTGTAATCTATGCTCCCCAGCTGGTCCCCATAAGAAAGAGAGAGAAGAGTTTCATTATTACCTGGCAGAAATGAAAGTCTGGTTTCCAACTCAGCCTTCTCTGGTTGGGAAGTGGGCCTTCTTTTTTTTTTTTTTTTTTTTAAAGATTTTATCCATTTATTTCACAGAGAGAGAGGGAACACAAGCAGGAGGAGCGGGAGAGGGAGAAGCAGGCTTCCCGCTGAGCGGGGAGCCCAATGCGGGGCTCGATCCCAGGACGCTGGGATCATGTCCTGAGCCGAAGGCAGATGCTTAACGCCTGAGCCACCCAGGCGCCCCGGAAGTGGGCCTTCTTACAGCCTGGTATGGATAGAAGTCTAGGCTCCCTACTTTGCCTTTGCTGATGGGGTTGGGATGGGGCCACAGTTTTTTCTGTGTTTGGCTGAAGTAGAGCAGATATTATCTAAAAGTTTTTTATTCTCCATAGTTTGCCCCTTTTTTGTTTCTTTGACTGGAGAGAGAAAGCTTTTCTTGAGGCTTCTTTTTCATCTGTATCTGTTGGCAGGTTGCTAGATTGACTTTTTTTTAAGCTCTCTGTTCAGGATAAGTGGAGCAAAAAAGTAAATTCAGGGACCTCACTGTTGTGTCATTCCTTGAGTCCTAAGGTTCCTAGCTTTCCTGGCTTCTTCTATCTACCTTTCAGAATTTTTTATATTTATTTCTAAAGTCCAGTTTTTAAAAAATTAATTAGTTATTATCTTTTAAATTTAGTTTGGGTAAAAAAATAAGTAATTCTATTTTATCTTGGTCCAGAGCATAGACATCATTTTGAATCCTGCTTTTGCTTTCCAGTATATAGGCTAGCACCATCAATGTGACTTTGCCCACTGTGACAGCTATGACCTCTACATCTTCATTTACATTGCTGATAGAATCAAGGCCAATACTGATTCCTTGGGTACACCTGTAAATACTCCTATAATTTTAATTTCGTGATTTGACAGATCTTATGTTTAATGTGCACTCCTCTGAGCTTCAAACTGGTTTTTGAAATTACATGTTATTCTGTATGTTTTCCAATCTAGGTCCATACAGTGGTATATCATTCATTTCTAAGAATTTTTTTCAGTTTTTCATGTTTTTTCTCTCTTATATACACACTGAACCTATTTTTTGTTTGTTTGTTTGTTGTGGTTGTTGTTTGCTTTCATTGGTTTTACTTCACTTAATCCATGACCGACTTCACCATTGTCCATTCCCAACTTTCACCTCTGGGTCAGTCAATCCAGCATTTTTCAATCTGCTATATTAAACTCTTTCACCCAGTTGACCTTTCTCCACACTCCTGGCAAACACTCAAGATTAGTCTTAACTCATTGTGTTTCTTTGTCTCCTCTGAAGCCTTGATTATTCTTGGAGGAAAACATGGAACAATATAGATTGGTCCCATTACAAAATTCTACAGAAAACTCAGGTTGATCCTGTGAATAAAATACTAAAATAAAACCAATTTAATAAAAGTCACTTGAAAATATACACATAATCTTCATTATTTGCAGATACTGTACTTATGAATTCACCTATTTGCTAAAATTTGTTTGTAAACCCCAAATCAATCATCAAGGCACTTTTGTGATCATTCATGAACATATGCAGAGTGGCAAAAAATTTGAGTCACCCAATGCGCATGTTCCCACCTGAGGTCAAAAAAGGAGATGGACTGCCTTCTTGTTTCAGCTTTCACACCATAAACTTGTGTCCCTTTTTTGTTCCATTTAATGCCACATTTTCCTCATTTTTGTGCTTTTTGTTGGTGGCTTTGCTGTTTAAAATAGTCCCCAAGTATAGTGCCGAAGTAAAATACAAGAAGGTAGTGATGTGACTCATTGAGAAAATATGTGTGTTAGGTAAGCATCATTCAGGCATGAGTTACAGGGCTGTTGGCTATGAGTTCAACATTGATGAATTAATAATATATCTTAAATAATGTGTCTTTAAACAGAAACATGCATAAAATATGGTTAC